CATACATACATACATACATACATACATACATACATACATACATACATACATACATACATACTTACATACATACATACATACATACATACATACATACATTCATTCATTCATTCATTCATTCATTCATTCATTCATTCATTACCCTCTTTTTCCATTTGGGGTCACGTGGGTCACTGGTGCCCATGTCCAGCAGTCATAGTGTGAAGGGTGGGGGACACCCTGGACAGGTCTCCAGTCCATCACAGGGACATTTCCAGACATTTGATTAAATCCTTTGGAGCAGTATACCACCATGTCTAAGTACTCATTGGTACTTTGTATCAATGAACATGGCTTGAAAAGAATAATATTCCTAAATACATTTTTAAAGAACATGCCAAGTGGGGTTCTGTGGAAAGGTTAAGAACAGTTAATATCTTACTTATTGCTGATAACTTTTAAAACATCCTCAGTTTAGAAAGAATATTTTCATTAAACCAGACTGATAAGATAATGACTAATCTGAGCACGGCTGAATGGATTACTGCTGTCTCAAAACAGTTCATCGGCACACATTTTCAGGTACCTGTTCTTCATCCTGCCATCACTTTTGCAGTACATGGATATTTGCATTGAACCTCACAGTGAGTCGCAAGAACAAACAGCAACAGCAGCAGCATCTGCAGCTCATGTTCAGTTCTGGAAGCATGAGACCAAAAACACTGGCAGAAAGTTGTTTTCTAAGACAGCACGTGCAGAATGTCAAAGAAAAGAACTAATACATTTTCTGATGAGGAGGTTGTGAAAAAACCAAGAGCAGTATTTCTTCATAATGTCATTGGAGTTCCAGGATTTTAAGCTCTTCAGCCGCAGTTTCTTGGGTTCAGAGCAGTGTGACAACCTGCTGACATGTTGTGTCTCAAAACTAACACAAACTGCACTGTTTGTGTGATTTCTTCTGGTGGGACATGTCGTGGTGGTGAAGTTAAAATATTTTTTACCCGACATAATTTTAACGTCAGTGCAGCACACTGTGGTCGTGCACCACAAACGGGTTAGAAGCGATGCTCCCTGCACTGCAAAACTAACAGCTGTATAAATGTTCATTAAATAGTTTTGCATATAATACTGTGTTTTAAACACTGAAGATCAACATTTAGGATGGTAGTGATCTGCTTTTGAAGTGGATCCCCTCAAACACGTCAACGTTAGCTCGTTTTTAAGGTTTGAGACGACGCCTTTCTAAAGTGGCTTGCTGCCATCTTTTAACTAATTCAGTTTTCAGAATTTCATGGTAGTTTATTCTTTTTTATTGTTTAAATCTGCACACTGCTGCCATTTTCCAACTTTACAATTAATTTGGCAAAAGTATTGTAATACTCAGGACAGAAATAAAACCCAAAAGCAAAAAGCATCAAAGTATAGCTAAAAAAAATAGCAAAAATGTAACAAAGACTAGCTAAAGGTAGCAAAAATGTACCTAAAAGTAACTAAATGTTAGCTAAAAGTAGTAAAAGGTTAGCTAAATGCTAAAATTGAACTTGAACTTACAGAGGTGGGCTTGTGATCCGAAGATCGCCGGTTCACGCCCCGGCCCCGACAACATCAAAATTGTGGGTGGGGTAGGTGAAACACCCACACTTGCCCCCACCCTCATTCGCCCCACCCTGGGCCCATGAGCAAGGCCCTTAACCCCCATCATGTGCTCCCTAAAACAGGTCTCTCTTGAAAATGAGTTCTCGTGGCTCAATGAGACTAACCTGGATAAATAAAGGCTAAATGAAAAAAAATGAAAAAACTTGAAATAGCAAAAGGCTAGCTCATAGTAGCAAAACACTAGCTAAAGGCTACACATAATAAGTTGCTTTAAGCTAAACATTTCAAAAGGTTAACTGGAATCTAAAAGTAACAAAAGATTAGCTGAAAGCTAAAAGTAGCAGAATGATAACTAAGAGCTAAATGTAACAAAAACACAAACAGAGCTTGCATGCTGGAGCAGATTTAAAAGAGAACAATATTTCTGAAAGAACTAAAGAGATCTCTGTGTATTTAAATATTTGTAAATAAATATTTAAGACACTATGAAAGTTATGAAATTCAAAGCTGGTGGTGTACATTTCATAAATCTGTTGAATGTTTTGATGCCCGATGGTCTAAAAAAGAAGTTAGACTGATGAAAACAATGTGTCTGTGGCTGCTGAGTCAGCGTTCACACACTAACAGTGTAATTCAAACTGTACGACAGTAAAACTTTTAAAAGTTCATAAGAACTGTTTAGATTTAAGTAGTTTTCAGACAGGAACCGTTCACGTTGGTCCTGATCCATTAGCTCCAGTCAGAATTCACTGAAGTGAACATATCATTTGTTCACAATCTTTACATACATGTTCATACATACATGTTCATACATACATGTTCAAATCTTTACATAGACACCCCCACCCACTTTAAATTGGCTCAGAAACTCTTAACATGTTGTTACTGATGTTTTTTGTGTTTACAATGACTTTGGTCCAGTTTGAGCTCAAATTCAGCATCTTTAATACTTCTGGTTTAATTTTTGTCAGAATTCCATATTTTATATCTTCATCAAACATGTTTTTGTGCAGAGTGCATCTAATAAATCAGCTTTATTGCAAAAGTCTAAATGAAAAACTCTTTCTGTGAGTCCATGCAGTATTAGCTGAGATAAACAGCTCTTAAAAAGTCAAAGTTTTTAAATCAGCCGTCTCTGCTCATCAGTGGAAGCATCATTTGTTCAGTAGAACTGGTTTGGATACGAGCAGCTGGTTTTGTGGCGCTGCTGAGTTTCTGCTAAAAGCATCAGGTGTCTCCTGATGCCCTCGAGATAAACAGAAGCTAACTCTCTGTAAGAAAAATACTCAACACTGTTTTCTGTGATGGAACTGGACCAGCTGTGTCCCAGTATCTCAAACGTAAAGGCTGTTATCCTTTAATAAAAGTAATAAAACATGTGCAGTGAAGATATGAGCAGAGATTTATCAACGTTTAGTTCTGATGAGGACCTCAGTGGAAACAGACGCTGCTCTTGAGAGTTTCTGTATAAGTTGACTGTGAGTGGACAGTGTGTGCAGTGATTTGAAGACGCTCAGTGTGCAGGGCGCTTCAGTTTATTATGAACCATTCAGCCTCACTCTGAAGCGATCGAGAAACAAACGATGCTTCAGGACTTTGGTTTTGAACGTGGGACCGTTCATAGCTTCAAGCAGCAAACTGCTCTGTAAAGGTGCTTTTTATCACCCGCCATCAAAAGATGGGCAGAAATGTTTTAGCAGAGCATCTCATGAAGCAGTGGACAAAGTTAGATGTAAGTCAGACAGTGAACATGGACTGTACGTGCACAGTCAGCTTTGAGCCAACCAGATTCAAGATGGCCACCACAGCTAACCATCTTAGAAAGCACAACAATAGTTATGACTCAGCAAGTTTTACAGTTTCACTTTAAAACTCTGGCATGAAGGGCGGCGGGTGATATGCATTCCTTTTAGGATTTCCAAGTCTTTAATTTACAGTGTTTTTAAAAGTGACTAGAGGATGAATCCATGTGTAAAGAAAACAACTAAACATGTCAGGAGCTGATAACAAACATGTCAGGAGCTGATAAACATGTCAGGAGCTGATAAACATGTCAGGAGCTGATAACAAACATGTCAGGAGCTGATAAACATGTCAGGAGCTGATAAACATGTCAGGAGCTGATAAACATGTCAGGAGCTGATAACAAACATGTCAGGAGCTGATAACAAACATGTCAGGAGCTGATAACAAACATGTCAGGAGCTGATAAACATGTCAGGAGCTGATAACAAACATGTCAGGAGCTGATAACAAACATGTCAGCAGCTGATAAACATGTCAGGAGCTGATAACAAACATGTCAGGAGCTGATAAACATGTCAGGAGCTGATAAACATGTCAGGAGCTGATAAACATGTCAGGAGCTGATAAACATGTCAGGAACTGATAACAAACATGTCAGGAGCTGATAAACATGTCAGGAACTGATAACTCGTCTGCTCTGTGAGAGTCTGTTGACCTGGACTCGTTAAAGACTCCAAACTCTTCAGCTAACAATAATCATTTAAACCCAAAGCCTGCTCTGAACCTGGGCTGAGCTTCTGTCCAGTAGAAAAGAAGCTCCGGATGGAGTGAAACTGGTCAGAGGATGTTCAGCAGCAGGAGTTTGTTCAAACCTTAATGTTTGTTCAGCAGAAAGAGCTTCCTGGAACAACGCGTGAGCTCTGGATGCTCCTCTAAAGCTTTTTGTTGTCTGGAGGTGCAGAACGAGACAGCCAAATCACCACTTCCTGTTGTCTGTGTCCCAGCAGTCCAGTGAGGTGGTGGGGCGAGGCTGAAAGGCTGTTTCAGGATGTGCTGGAGGACCCATGCTGAGGGTGATGTGTGTTGTTTGTTGTGTGGCGCAGTTAATCCATGTGTTCGAGTCAAAACAGGCTGTTTGATTCACAGCATCCACATTAGAATCAGCATCATCCCTGCCTTTCAGCTCTTCTCAACAACCTTACAATAAAAGCTTTACTTTCACACATTAAGTCAAAGTTAAAGAAGGACTCAGCTTTTAGGTTGACTCATATGGCTCTTATAAACCAATAAATTATATAAAAACAGACAATTGTGACTTCGTCGTTGAGTGTGAAGAGAAATGAGCATTCTGGCAGCAGCTTGGTGACTCCAGACGAGTTTAAATATTTATTCACAGGTGAACCAGAACCATTCCAAACACAAACTCTGGCTTCATGAGAAACTACAGCAGCTGTTGCATTCTGGGCCTTGAGCTGCCTGAACAGGCTGATCTCACATCTGTCGGAAGCAAACATCAGGATGACTGTAAACCCTCTGCTGCCCGCCTCCTGTGTATAAACCACTGACTCTGGGGGGCAAATAAAGAAGGGGGGTCTTAAAGGATGAAGTCAGGGGCTGTCAGAGAGAAGCAGCTATGTGTTGCTCGTCTCTGCGGGGAAAATGTCGTCATAGGCGGGCGGCTGCTCGCTGGGCAGCCGGTGGGAGAAGGGGAAGCAGCGGTTGAGCTCCGGGTCCGAGGGCGCGTATCCGGGCAGCTCGATGGACGGGTGCCCCCCACGCTGCACTTCAGCCCCCGTCTCATCAAACACAGTGAACCCCCCCAGGTTGATGTAAGACACCGGCTGGAAAGCCACCGAGGAGCAGTCCCGCTCCTCCCTGAAGACGGTGGCCCCGGAGCCCTGCCTGTGCGCCCGCCGGCCCCGGGACGCGTGCGCAGCCTTGTAGCGCTTGATGACCATGAGGTTGATGAGCCCCAGGAGGCACTCCATGGTGCTGAGCACCGTGGAGATGAGCAGGCTCCGCTGGTACTCCCGCAGCTGCTCGCAGCCAGCGTTCCCAGTCACAGAGTGGAAGCAGTAGTGGGAGAACTTCCTCTCCACCAGAGAAGCCGTGTCCCCGTCCACCACCGCGCCGGAGAAGGCGGTCAGGACTCCCAGCAGGAAGACAACAACACCCAGGAGAAAGAAATTCCTGCAGCCGGGTTTCTCCGCGCAGCACAGCAGCGCGGAGCCCAGCAGCACCTGGCCGACCCCCACCAGCAGCCCCGAGTAGAAAGCCCCCGCCGCGGTGCCGAGGTGGAACTGCGCCTTCACGGTGGAGCCGAGCGACACGCATCTTAACCCGACCACCACTTCGCTCAGGGCGCACGCGAACAGGAGGCTGCCGGAGCACACGGTGCACAGTCCTTTCCCACTCAACTTCATTATATCCCGCCTCTGCCGCTCCTGATGCCTCTCCCCCCGTCCTCATCCTCCCTGGTCCTCTCCTCCGTCCCCGCTGGAACCACTGGCGCACCGGGACATCACGTGCAGCCCCTCCGGTTCAGCGCGGCCGATCCTCGGCGCTGCAGCGTCTCTCTCTCATCCCCGCCGCTTCACGGGACTAGTCAGGGCTGTCCTCTGAGCGGAGACACATCAGCGGAGACACATGTCCACCTGCACTGGAGCTCTGAGGACAGTCCGCCCTGCGGTCCTCCGGCTGAGAGCTGGGGGGAGCAGGGGGCGGCTGCTGCGTCCTCTGTGACCAATGATCCAACAGGAGGACAAAGTCTCAGCAGGGACATTAATGACGCCGCGGGAACCACGCGCTGCTAAAGGGACAGTCCGCCCATTCCCACAGGGGGTGAAAAAGTTGTGAGAACATCCTGATGCTGCTCAATAATCCAGGTAGAAACATCTAAAACAGTTGAGTCTGGTCCTCTGGACGTTCACAAAATAAAATAAAATGTAGAAAGGTTCCGTCTTTCCTCCGTCAGAGGAGCTGCGTTCAGCTCAGTCTTCTGAATATCATCTTGTCAGAGTGGACCAAACACGACTCTTCTGTGAACCTGTTCTCAGCACATCAGTGAAGCTGACAGCCTGACGGAGCAGATGTGAGGGAGAGGCTGAACTTCGCTGATCGTGTGAAAAGAAGCAGAGCATTCACAAGCTGCATGTCTTACAGGCTGCTCAAACATTCAAGACACTGAAGGTCGCTCAAAGTATGACCGTCTGAAACTACCAGCAGCAAAACAGGATTTAATAGAAAAATATTACATAAAACTTCATATTTCTGAGATGAGAGCAAACAATCAATAAATATATACAAACAGCAAAACACTGCCTGAACGCTGTGGACACGTCTCTCTGGAATGTGTCCTCGAGGCTCAATGACACTAACCTGGAAATAAACTGATGAAGGTCGAGAGAGAGAACACGAGGGGAGAAACACTGGCTCAAAGTTTCTTCTTCTTCCAACTTTTCCCTCTTCAGGTGTCTCCACAGTGAGTCCTCCTCCACCTCACTCTGTCCTCTGTGTCCTCTGTCCTCACTCCAACCATGTCCTCTCTAACTGCATCCATATGTCTCCTCTGTCTTTTTCCTGGCAGCTGCATTTCTAACATCCTTCTACTAATATACCCACTGTCCCTCCTCTGGACATGTCCAAACCGCTGTCCCTCCTCTGGACA